AAAACAACTGTCACATATTTTGGTAAAGATTTTAGATCTTCAATCAAAATCCTTAACATTATAAAGTACTTATAGTTGTATAATTTAGTAATCTTAGTTCTAATGTCCAACCTATGGGATATGTATTTACTTATTTATTTATTTTTCAGTGCCAGGAATTGAACTCAGGACCTTGTGCTTGCCTCGCAGGTGCTTATGCCACTGAGCTATCTCCCCGCCCCCTGTGGGATATTTAAAATAATTATTATTGCTTTTCTCTTAGTTTGCATTTACCTGAGATAACTTTGCTCTTCTTTTTATTTGCAATATGTTAGACACATGTCTAATTTTGCTTCCTGTATACAACGAGTTGAATTTTCCTCTAATTAAAAGCTCTTTTTCTTTCAATAGGATATTGAACCTTTTTATATATTTATTATGCAGCACTGGAGGCTGATCCAGGACCTTATGCATGCTGGGCAAGGGCTTTACCCTTGAGATACAACCCTAGTTTCCAATTATCTTTGTTAATATGAGTGATAACTATAAACTTGGTTTTGCCATATTATTACATATACTGTCCTATATGTTTGGGCATACTTATTTATTATTTATTTTATGTATAGAGATGCTATTTAGGAAGGTTCAAAATGGGGTTTATTTATTTATTTATTTATTTATTTATTTATTTATTTTGGCTGCCTCAGGCTACCCTAAGGGCTGGTCTGGTGTGGCATGTCGAGCTGGGGATAGAACCGCGGTCCTGTGCGCCTGACTGGGCTTGCCCCAGTAGGCACTTAAACAACTGAGCTGACCCAGAAGCCCGCCCCCCGCCAACATGGGGTTCTAATAGTTACAAATTTGTATTAACATATCATTTCCATTATCTTTCCACAAATTAAATGTATTCCTTGTAAGTAATAATGAACCCAAATCCTCCATTTCCTACCCCTTTCTATCTTCTCTACCAGTAAATTTATGTTATTTATATTACCTTGGTATTAATTTTGCTTTTAGTAATACGATTTATATATGTCTACAAATCGATTATATGTCCAGATCTTGTAGATGAGGCAGTAAGGGAGAATGGTTTGATTTCCATCTCTTCTCCATTTCCTATTTTTGTTAGTTATAACACTTCTGTATTGCCCAAATACATAACATTTACAGTCACTCTGTAACTCTTAGCCCTTTCTGTCGTTGATCTACATGTTCAGGGCTCGGTAGCAGTTTTTGTTTTTGGCTAAAGTCGCTATGGTAGTCTCTTCAGTGGCTGTACTTTTTGCTGCAGTAGTTTCCAAAAAAACAAAACAAAATACATCAAAGCCTCCCACCCCATCAAACAAATTCAGTGAAAATTATCCTGTAAGCTCTTGCAGTTTCAAATCTGAGGAGCTAAGAGGTCAGGAGATGTGTAGGAAGCAATGAAAAATTAAGAGCTAATGAGGCTGGCTATCGAGCAAGTGCGTGACGCCACGGAGCACTCTGATGTCAGCCTCAGTTTCTTTTTCTTATTCCTAACTTGGGCTTTGGCGGTCCAAAGATAATATTTCTTAACACTGAAATCTAACAATTTTATTCTTAATTGCTTTGATAAAGACCATTTGGTCTAAAAAAAGAAAAGAACATTTGGTCTAATTTTTGTTGCTATGTGATATGCAATTTGAATATAGAGATTAAAGTATATTTCAGTATCATTTACTCGTATATTTTTAAATAGCTGTCTTATTCTTAAGTAAAGCTGGATTCTCCTTTCCTTTCCATCAATATCTATTATTTTCTCATAATCTTTTCCTGCTGTTTTTTTTTTTTAAATTTTCATTGGTTTTTCAATTTAATCTTATGTCCCCTACTGCAGATGGTTTCCCAAGGAGTAACTGAGAAGATTCAAAACTAAGATGCTCTTCACAAAGTAGTCGAAACATTACTTTTCACTGGGTTAGAAAAGTTACATTTTTAAAGAAACAGGGTGTGGTGGTGGCCCACACCTGGAATCCCCACACTGGGGAGGCTGAGAGAGGAGGATCACTACGAGTCCAAGCTGCATAGCGGATCCTGTACTAATTAGTTAACTAATTAATTAAAAAATAAAGAAAGATAAAAGCAAAATAAAGCTCAATTCTAGAAAATCTTATTTTATTAAAGTTGACGCCTTTAAATTATTATTCAATGACTTCCAGGGGCTTCTAGATTGTTAAAAGATGATGTTAACCATAGTGTTGCATCGTCCTGCAGGTTTATTCTTTGACGATGCTGCAAAGTGCAGTCCTACTAGCAATGCCTTTCTTCTGTCATAGGATTCAGATGGAAATTGCAAGGAGGAAAGGTTAGGGCTTGTCAAGAGCCATAAGATGGGGGTGTTGCGTAGAGAGTTAACGTTGTATGGAAGTAGGACGGGCATCTGAGGTTCAGAAGCAGGCTTCAGTTTAGAGATTATGAAAGTTTCAGGTCAGTAATCTAGCTGACACCCTTAACCAAAGAAAACAGAAAAGAAAGAAAACAGCAGAGCACACTAGAGCAGGTAGCCTACTGTCCTTCTCAGGCCTGACACCTACCATGTGCTCAGTCCTGTGGTGAAGAGCAAAAGGACAGAGGAACATATGAACAAATATGCACTATTCATTATAGAAATGAAATTCTACTACATAGAATGTTCAGTGGGAGGTGATATCCAAGAAAACATTATTTATTCATTTTAATAATGAGTAATAATTTTATTTATTCAAATCCCCTTATCCAATTTAATTTAGGGCAGGAAGAATTCCACTCAAATCTTTGATTTTTATCCTATTCAGGTATAACTTAATTGGCCCAACCAGTAGTGTTTGTGAGATCAAAGAGAAAGGAGTTGATTGGAGCACTCCTTTTCCAGTATGTGAAAGTAAGTCGGTTTTTTTCTGACTTGGACAATAAACTATGTTAAGAAAAGTAACACTGTGCATCTTTTTTTTTTTTAAAAAAAATCATTTTATTGAGAAATAAATAGCAATGAGATAGTTTCAAATCCAACTAGTAGGACAGTTTCACTAATCAATACATTGCATATTGTTGTCTTAGTGGTTATTCATTGTACAAGATGTAGACATGATACCCTGTCCACAAACACTATTAGAACAAATCTTTCTATTCATTGAATTGAAAATCTAGCTGTGTATCTATCATAACTATTTTGAATATATAGATACAAAATGGTTGTTCATTTGTATTCCCTTTTTTGGTTTAGTTTTGTCAGAGAAGGGTATTCCATTGTCATTTAAATATTATAAGTGCATGAATTCAGCAAAATACTCCAATATAGTCCAGTAGTCCATAATAGTAGTGGGTTTTCCATAAGACTGGCAATGTCAGAAGTTGTTGACTTGAGCCTTTTATAGCTCAGCATATTAATATGGCTTTACTTTTTATGCTTCATTTTTATACTTTTCTGCTGGATGGTTAAGACCAAGATAAAGCAAGACCTATGTAACAAGAAATGTAGCAGTGCTGTGTGTCTTTACTACTCTCGTACCTTTCATATGACTTTACAGGAATCTTAGTTTATGAAGATCCCTGCCTTTAATATTTTTTTCTTCTTATTCCTCTCAGTTATTAAGTGTACATCCCCTCCAGACATCAGCAATGGGAAACACAGCGGTAGAGATGAAGACTTCTACACATATGGTTCCTCAGTCACCTACAGCTGCGACCACCCCTACTCACTCGTAGGCAATCCTTCCATTTCCTGTATGGTGGTGAATAAAACAGCTGGTGTCTGGAGCCCCAGCCCTCCGACCTGTGAGAGTAAGTCACAGTGATGGATTTTGCTTTAAATTGATTTCTTTCTTTCTTAAAGGGAGGTGGTGTGTGTGTGTGTGTGTGTGTGTGTGTGTGTGTGTGTGTGTGTAGCAGGGAATGGAACAATATAAAGACAAACTAATGATTGCACTAAAGCGATCATTTCTGGCCAACAGGTATTTATTGCCTGACTATTTGAATATGGTAGCACAGAATATCAATCTCTCTCACCGGTTTGGTGAAGTAAAAGTTGCTCCTCATTCATCAGTACACTGCCTCATACCTGGGAGATCTGCTGGCCAGCTGTAGCCTAAGTATGAGCACAGTAACCCGCTTGGCAGTCCAGGTGGCTTTGAGCTTCTGGTATTGCCATATCCAAATGCACTTCCACAAGCTTTTTAGTACGGGAAAAAAGGCAAATGGCCCCTTGGTTATTAAGAGTTTTGGCTTAGACATTTGGACCACAAAATATTTTCTGTCTAGAACTAGCAATGTATAGTCCCTTCCTATCCCCAGAGGACTGAGGAATGAAATCTTTTGTCTATTTAGGAAAAAGTATTGGAAATATTAGTTAACACTTGTCAACCACATTTTCCTGGAGAGCAAACAAGGCCTCTTAAAATCTGGAAGACCAACAAAAGAATCAAGCAATAATTGAACTGGAAAATACTCTGTGGCATTGCTAATTTGCTAACCCAAAACACCTTCCTTTACTACTAATACTCATCTACAATATCACTTGTTACTCTGACTTACTCCAAGGCACAGTCCAACCAGAGAGACCAGGGAGCACAGCACCGTAACCAGGACTGCCAGGGATGGAAAAGCAGCAGCTAATCTTGGCCAGATTATCAGAGCCACATTGGAAAGGGTTTCCTGTGTCCCTCTCAGTAGTTCAGCATGAAAGTGAAGGGAAGATGAAAGGCTCTACTGGGAGAATAAATACACTGCATTTTAGAAAGATAGCTCAGGCTGCAAATGGTAACAGTTTAGAATGGGACATACGTTGGCCAGTGGGCACCTGCTATGGTTTCAATGTAAATCAAGATCTAGTGTAACAGTGCCAAGAGGTAGAGAGCTTTTGGGCAATGATTAATGCCCTTTTAACAAGTCGATGGAAGAACCCTGGTCCTTTCACTCTTGCTGACCTGCTAGGGCATGGCCTTTGTCCCTTCTGCAGCACTAAGTACCAAGGCAACATCCTAGAAGCAGAGAGTAAGCTCCTTCCAGGCTTTGAGTTTGCTGGTGCCCACACTTTGTGATTCCTATTTCCCAGAAATGTGAGGAAATGAGTTCTTACTAGTTATGAGTCATGCAGTCTAAAGAATTTTGTTTTAGCAATGAATGGATTGAGGTAGTTGCTGCTGCCAGTGTCCAGCCAAGAAGCAAAGGTAGCTTCATCCGTGGCCTTGGGCCTGGAAAGAAGTTGGGGTCTCCAGGTTGATAAGTGATCAGATGAAAGGATGAGAGGGGGGCGTAGTTTGTTCCGTGCTGGTGGGCACAGGTCTCTGATGCTTTGGCCATCTCTTTGTGATCGTCATGTCATTACCGTGGGCTACTGTCCCTCAACCACAGTCATCCAAAGATTCTGTAATGATATTGGAAGTTTTGGTGGCTTCACATGAGTCTTCTAGTATAGGAACAATTACCAGTTTGGGGTTATCCAGAGTCATCTCAGATAAGCACAAATGTGATAGGATCTCATTTTCTTGAGGCAATTAAAACTGAAACTATTTTAATTATTCACTTGAAAACATATTCAGGCATGCCTGTAATCTCAGCCCTTTGGGAAGCTGACATAGAAAGATCAAAAGCCAGACCCTATCTCCAAATACAAAAGGGCTGGGCATATAACTCAGGAAGAAGTTCCTGGGTTCAATTCCCAGTATGAAAAACAGTTTTTTTGTCCTTGTATATGTTTGACATGTGCTTATATTAGGCATTTAAACTCATAATTAGATTAGTGGTAGCACTAATAATATAGATTTATTATCTTCTAAAATCCACTTCTGTACCATTTCTGCTGTCTTATATTGCTTTGTTTCTATCTTGGTTCTTGTTATTGATTCTAGTTTTTGTTTTTTTCTTTAAAATAATAAAAGTAAATAAAATCTACTTTTCATTACTAATAAATCTTTAGGGATCATCTGTCGCCAGCCAATTGTTCAATATGCAAATATTGTTTCTGGATTTGGACCCATCTATACTTTAAAAGATTCTATTGTGTTTAGCTGCCAGAAAGGTTTTGTCCTTCGAGGCAGCAGTTTAATCCGCTGTGAAGCTGATAACAAGTGGGATCCTTCTCCTCCTGTTTGTGAGCAGCGTAAGTAATGGACATGAAGGGGTTTCAATGGTTGGCATCTACAGGTACCCTGAAATGATAGTACGGGCACACTTGCCTGGCTAGCTCCACTTGGAGTCACAGCTAATGTTTAAATTCAGGTAAATACATTCCTTCATTATTGTTGTTGTAAGGAATGATTTCGGTGTAGCTGCAGGGTTGGACATCACCACAAAGGGTTGCCATGCAGTTTTCCAGGCTGTGCTCACTCAGGTCCTGCACTACCACTGAAGATGTGGTGGGTTGCCTACTTATGTCAGCGATATTCTGGCAGTTGATAGAATATTCTCTTAGTTTAACAAAGTCCTTACAATGTGATCATTATTTTGAAAGGTCAAACATTAAAATATCCTGAGAGAAAACATCTTTTTCCTAGCTCTATTGGATAGACTAGCCATGATTCAAAAAACCTAAAATTATACATTCATATAGACCATTAAAAATACTGATGAAAGCAATAATGCTAAGTTGGAACTGGAATCAATGCATGACAAGTACTAAGCCAATAAACCCTCTGAACAATTAATTGTGAGCAGCTACTATTCTCACTTTATAGATAAGGAAACCATTCACAGAGGTTCAACGCCCTTCCTAAGATTGCGCAGTGGGCGCGGGGAAGAAGCCTCTGGTGCCTGGTGCTCTTAGTTCTACCTTCATGAAATTCCAAGAGCCTTTGCTTTGGGGACTTCTACAACAGTGTTTTAGTAAAATGTAGGGAAAATCTCTTCCTAGAGTAGCATGCATTAAGTCAGTCAAAATTACTAAAGAAAACCATTCAAGGTTCTTATATCAAATTGAGCAGCATTTATTCAGTAACTCTGTGGAGATTTGATACAAATAGTAGAAGGCCACTGCATTAGACCTAGGGGTTACACTAGGCCCCCTGATAGCACAGTTGTGTTGGGAAAATGTTTCTGTGGGTTCAAGAGAAAGAGAAAGAGACAAGGAGTGAAAGCACAGGCACTCCTTGTCGCTAGGATGGCCAAGCAAACCAGGCCGTGCTCTCTGAAACATGCCAGCAGACGTTGCATATTTTGGGGAAAATAGACTTTGCTAAACTAGTTCAGTCAAGTCACTAGATGAACAAGCAAGCCAGCAGAGAGCAACAGGTCCTGAAGTTGATGAGAGGGAATTAGACACAAAATTGCTAAAACCTATTTTCTGACATGTCTAGCTTTCAAGGAAGAACTGTCAGACATGAAAAGAAACAGAAATAACCCATACCAAGAGAATAAACTAACGATAGAAACTTCCTTTGAGGAGTTGGATTTATCAGAAAAGAAGTTCAAAACAGCTAGTATAAATATATACCATTAAAGGAAACAATTTTTTTAATGTTAAAGAAAGTAATAAAATCACTCCAGATTCATTCCAATTGTTATAATAAAAAAATACACATCTTTACCAACATTTGTGGAAATACTAGAACTCTCATACATTGCTACTGGGAATGTAAATTACTGCAACAGTTTTGTAAAATAGTTTTGACAGTTCTCTAAAACTGTAGCCCCCATGTGATCCAGCAATTATCCTCCTGGGTATTGATCCCAGAGTAACAAAGCTAGATGTTCACATATAAAATTTACACGAAGGTTCATAACAGCAGCATCCACAATATGCTTATAAATTGCATAACAGACAAAATTAAAAGTGGCATATTTATGCAGTAGAATACCAATTGATAATAAGAATAAGGTCCCACTATATGATACAACATAGATGAGCCTTGAAAACATCACATTAAGTAAAAAGAAGATGAATTCCTAAGAATACTACTGTATACAGTTGCACTTATTTGGAATGTACAGAATAAAGAAATCCACACAGAGAAAAAAAAAATAAGTTCATGGTTGCCAATACCTAAGAGGAAGTGGGAATTGAGAGTGACTGCTAGTAAATTTTGTGGTGATGAAAATACCCTGCAATCAGGTAGTGGTGCTGGCTGCCAAATTCTGTAGTATACCTCAGAACCACTGAATCCTACATATTATTCAAATGTTTACAGACAAAAATACAATAACCATCCAACTAGGAGATATCTGTATTTTGTTTCCTCATCACATGAATCAGCAGCATCAGGGAAGCGGGCAAGACAGGATGCAAAGACCCGGCCCAAAAAATGCTTATTGGTTGGTGCAGACTCAAGACATACTTGATGGTGAAGTTCCTGGTGCTGCCTGGCTGAGGGGATGCCTGCTGTTTATTCAGTCAGGAAACATAAGAAGTCAGATTTGTTTCATGCGACCATTTTCTGCCATGTTCACTTAGCAAGTTGGGTGCTTCAATTAAGAAAGTAAGCATTCTGAAATGCGCTGAAGTGGAAGGGTAGCCCATCTTATGTACAGTTGACACAGCACACAGAAACCATGTGGGGTGTCCTTTGCGGGGACCTCTCTGGGTGGCAGCAGGGAGGCAAATGGCCCTCTGTGCTTTCTGATGCAGTTCATTCCCAGCCATTGCAGGGTAGTTTCTAAATGAGTGAGCACTTGACAGGATGGGGTCATTGCTTGTGGCGCCAGCCCCATTAACACTGTCCTTTCCTCCTGTTCTTTACGAGAAGGTAGCTGTGTTGACTTACCAGACATTCCAAATGCTCACTGGGACAGAAATAAGTGGCCAAGTGAAGGCCATGTGTATTCACCTGGGACAGTGTTAAAGTACTACTGTAATCCTGGCTACAGACCTGCTACATATGAGCCTACAACTGTGATTTGTCAGAGTGATTTCAAGTGGAGCCCATTCAAAGGGTGCAAGAGTGAGTTTTTTGTTTTTAAAATATTTTTGTGTAGTCAATGTCTACTGTGTGTGAGGATTCTGTACCCTAAATTAATGTAAGTTTACTCCTAGATATAAATTGAGAGTATACTATTTCAGGCAAATAGTAAATGCTTGTCACCAAAAGGGACCATAGGAGATTTGGAGGCTCTAAGAAATCATGACCTTTTCTTAGGCCAGTTTAGAATTAATTGAGAAGTAGACATGGCAGTCAAACTGAGCAGGTTCAGTGCTAGCTTCAGTACTGGGAAAGGTAGAATGGAGATCCCAGGCTAACCATTCTCAGAGTCTGGGCTTGCATACAGCTTTCAAGCCTCCCCGGTGTAACTGCAAGCATGCAGCAGAAGGCAAGCCTGTGACACAATCATGAGCTCAACCAGCTGCACGTGGACTTGTGCCTTATGTCCCTGGAGACATGAGGCCATAGGCTTGTAACCTGCTTTCACAAGGCAGATCCTGACTCCTTCCCTGGTGTCCTCACCTCAGGAGGACAGAAAGGAGACTTTCTCCAATTTTGCTGGTAGGAGAGGGGCTTCCTTCTCTGCTTGTGGGAAAGAGAGTGGTGGGCTGTGGAGAAGTGGAAGGTCTTTTATGGACCTCAATGAAAGTGACAAGAAAGGGAGAAACTGCGCCTCCTGTCATCTAACAGAACCTTCACATTTCAGAGGGGAAAACACTGTGACCCAGATTATAGGGCACTTTATGCTCCAGATTGGAATTTGAAACAATGTGTGAAATACACAAATGAGGAAAAGTGATATTTTAGATCAATTAAAGCCTGACATGGTTTCATTGAAATTATTCAGACCCATGTTGTGGAAATAGAAAAAAAGATTTTAGTTAAAAGAGAATCAAAAATGAAGGGCTGGCCAGATAGCTCAGTGGATTAAAGCACTTGCGGGAGTCTCAACTCCCCGGCTTGCTGTGCTGGCCCTGCCCCTGGGGCACACTGAGACAGCGAATGAGACTGGGTGTGGTGGCGCTCGCCTGTAATCCCAGCGCTTGGGAGGCTGAAAACAGGAGGATCACTATGAATCTGATCAGTGTAGTGAGACCTTGTACTAAATACATTTTAAAAAATGTATTTGACAAGGGGATGGGGGTGATAGCTCAGTGGCATAAGCTCTGCCCGGCAAGTGCAAGGTCCTGAGTTCAATCTCAGTACAATATATATATTTTAACAAAATTTATGGCCTGCTTACCAAAATATTATTTGTAAATATTTAAAAACATATTTTAGCCATATTTATTGTACTCTTATACAAAATAGTATAAATAATAATAAATCAAAATAGTCTTATTGATTTAATTATATACTAAAGAATATTCTTAATCATTTAGAAAGCAGAAGTGAAATGGTATTCAATGTAAAATCTGATTGACTATTAGATTCATGACTTACACATTTCTGCTTTCTTTCTTTCTTTCTTTCTTTCTTTCTTTCTTTCTTTCTTTCTTTTTTTGCAGAACTGGGGCTTGAACTCAGACCCTTGAGCTTGCCAGGAAAGCGCTTACTCTACTGAGCCATCTCCCAGGCTCCCATTTGTGTTTTCTACAGTATAAAGCATTGCATAAATATCATTCAAATTTAAAAATCATAGACATAAAAAACGAGCCCTGAATGCATCTTTCATAAAGATTCCTAAAACTTAGGGCTGGCCAGATAGCTCGCAGCAGACTAAAGGGCCTGCTTAGGCGGAATGCAGCTGCCAGGGTTCCATGCCTGGCATGCCATGCCAGCCACGCCCCCAGGATGCACTGAGATGGTGGCTGAGACTGGGCGTGGTGGTGCCTGCCTGTGATCCCAGTGCTCGGGAGGCTGAAAACAGGAGAATCCCTATGAGTCCCATCTATGTAGTGAGACCCTGTAGACCTGTCCTAAATACATTTTTAAAAAACCCAAAAAACAAAAAACAACAATTCCTAAAAAGTGAGGATCAACTTTATCTTAGTGTGCCTGGAACACTCTATGGCAGAGCCAGGCAAGCTCCTTACATAGAGACTAACTTTTTGTATTCTGTTCTGCTGTTTTGTCTTATACCCGACAATATCAACTTACATTGCAAGGTGCTTCTACTAATGAATGAAAAATTGTATCTCTTTATCAGCTCTTGTTTGTTTTAAAAATGGAATAAATTGGATAACTATTTCCCTAAATTTTGTGTCAAACAAGAAAAATCCTGGCCATAAGCAATCATTTACGTTTATTTTCCTGCACTAGCTGTCAGGTGCATCCACTGCCAAGAACTTTCCTTTTTCTCATGATTGAAGAAGCATGCAGTAGTAGAAAGCTTAATTGTGATGCACGCTGGTGAAGCCATAAGTGATGGGTGTGATCATTTTTCTTAAATAATAGTGAAAATTTGCCTTTTCATACAGATGTGCGATAGTATTTCAGTTGGAGTCTCCCATTGAAAATACTTAATTGAAGAAAATGCTGACCTAGAGTTCTTCAACAGTCAGGGACAGCTAACAGAACAAAACTGTTTGGGCCCCTTTAGCAGTTTTCCTACCACTGTTCAGAGCTCAGGACCTCCAGTGGTGGATGTGAGACCATTAGCTGAGAGCTTCCTCATGCTGATTTTGCTAAGCAGCATTTTCACTTTTTATTTTTAGAGGTATGTTGCCCAAGACCAGAGGTGAAGAATGGTAGAAGCATGGAAACAAAGGAAGTTGTTAACATCGACTGTCCCTTTTCCTACAACCAAGTATTTCACTATAGATGTGATGGTGAGACTCAGAGACGTACAGCCACGTGCCAATCCAATGGCGCATGGAGACCCTCTGCCCCATTTTGCAGTCAAGGTAAGGGCAACTGGAATTGTGTCATTTGGGGAGTTTTTTCAATAATCTCCACTGTAATGAGGATTATGAAGAGAAGATTTAAAATTAGGAAAAGGTTTATATATCTGCATGACTCTTGGAGTAGGCCCAGTGTTTTTATTTTTTTCTTTTTTGACTTTATGCTTTGTTCCTGTTCTTTCAATCTTCCCTTTCCTCTTTTCTGAATAAGTGAATGCTGAATGTAGATCACAACCAATAGATAAGCTGAAGTTTTCTTTCTTTCTTTTTTTTTTTTTAAGCTAAAGTTTTCAATGACTATTTTTTGCTTCTCTGTACTTTTCTTCTTCCCTTACTTCTGGTCCATACGTCATAATCTACAGAACATGACCTGCCTACATCCTTTTACACCTGCTTTTCTGATCTTATTCCTTCTTCTTCCTTAGACAACACTCTTTGGCTTCCTCTAAACTTTACAGTTGGCTTCCCATTGTGAGGTACCTTCCTTTCCTGGCCAAATATCCTTTCTCTTCACTGGGACATGGTACCCAACACCCACTATCTAAAAGAGGAGAGATTTATGTTGGCTCACAGTCTGTCTTTGGCAGGCTTAGACCCAGACACAGCCTGGCAGAAAAGCAGAGAACAAGGAAGATTGCTCATATGACTGTGGACAGAGAGCCAAGAGATTAGCTGGAGAGGGAGATACATTTCCCATGACCCTTTGTTCTGACAAGAATGGACTTCCCAACAACAAATCAGCTGTATAGTTCCCATAATTCAACCACCTTCCAAAAACCCAGCTTCTAAACATATGAGGCTCTTGGGGTACATCTAGATATAAACTATAATATTTTGCCCTTAGAGGGCTGGCCAGACAGCTCAGCAGACTAAGGTGCCTGCTTAGGAAGGTGCAGGGACTGGGGTTTGATCCCTAGAGTCCCGAGATGGCCCTGTGCCCGGAGTGCACTGAGAGGGCAACTGAGACTGGGTGTGGTGGCATGTGCCTGTAATCCCAACCCTTGGGAGGCTGAAAACAGGAGGATCACCACAAGTCTGATCTGTGTAGTGAGACCCTGTAGACCCTGTACTAAACACATTAAAAAAATATTTTGCCCTCGGGCCCCCAAAGTTACATGCATATATCTGTATACAAAATGGGTTTGGTCCACCTCTCAGAGCTACCAAATTCTTAGTAATATCAGCAATGCTAAAAGGTCCAAGTCTACTCTTAGATTTAGGGCAAAGTCTTAACTAAGATCCCCTGTAAAAATAAAAAAGAAGGTTAACCAGTACCAACATATAATTTCAGTTGCCTTGTTTGGTTTTGGTCTTTTCTGATTTTACTTTTTTTTTTTTGGTTGAATTGTTTTTTAGAGTAGGTTTATTTTTTGTTTTTGGTGCTGAGGACTGAACCCAGGCCTTCCAGCTAGGAAGGCATCCTACCACTAAGCTAAATCCCCAGCCTCCCAACATATAATTTCACAGGATAAAGAGCTCATTCTAAAAGGGAGAAGTAGTAGATAGAAAACAGTAAGACCAAAGCAAGAGAGAAGCCAGCAGGGAAACGTTAGATATGTTTAAAACAAATTTGTGTCCAAGATCCAGGGAGAGCTGGGGCAAGAAAATGTGAAATTGGCAGGGCTCAGCTGGCTTCCAGTGGCACTGCTGGCCCTAGCCCTCATGACTTCTCTTTGGGACAGCTCTGCTCACTGTCCTCAGCTTTCCTCAGATAATCCATGTTCCTGGCTTCTCCAACT